ATACAGACACTTCTTTTATACTATTTTCCTATTTTCAACTCACAAAACATGAAAAATGTTTTGGGAAAATAAGCTTCGTTAGATGATGAACATTTTTGTTGTTTTTTTTTTTTGGTGCATTAATGTTGTCGTCAACGTCGACAATGGCTGTTGCATTTTGCTATTTCTGTTGAAAGTTTTTTTAAATTTCGCTTTTTATTTTGTAAGTTTTTGGCCCCTTTCACACTCGCTCTTTTTCTCCCTCTTTCCCCTTCGTTTTAGGCTATGACTGGGTATGCATATTTAATGCACAATTTTATGCGTTTTTTTTTTTCTTCTTTTTCTTTTATTAACTTGAATGTGCAACAAAGTATAGAAGACTTGTATGAGAGTTTCTGGCGGTAAATGGATGTTAGATGGTTGCAGAGGATTTTTAAGTATTTACACTGATTCCCGGGAGAAACTGAAATTTTTTGCATTTGGCAGAGAAATTTTGACAGAGACGGAAGCTGAATTATAAACATAATTAAAATATTACTTGTTTTGTTATAAGAATTTTGATTTCAAGTTTTAAATTAATGTAATAGAAATGTTATAAATTTTATTAATTTAGTTCATTTTCTATACAGAAATGGTGTAATATGCTTGAATAGATTTAAGTACTAAACGATGTCACTCTTTACAAATACATTTGTATCTAAATACACTAAAAAATGTACAGAAAATAATGGCGCCAGTAAAAAAAATTGTGCTAAGAAGAAGTAGGTTTCTGTTGGGAATGAACATTTTTATGATTTAATGTTAAAATACCTGGTTATTAAAAAAATCGTATTATATGGATCGATCAACTAAAGTTCAAACACATTATGAGTCTGGTGGACTGGATAACAGGAGTACTTAGTACTATTCCAATAATTATAAGAAATCACAATATTATTTCGCTCAGTGTATTTATAAAAATGCAACTCTGACTGCATTCACACAAGTGTTGCTAGCTGCTGCTGCTGCTGCTGTTGCTGTTCTCTACACATGCAATGCAATGCACCGCAATATAATTGCATGTGTACTTTACAATCCTACTGGAATTGTGAATAAATAACGGTGGTTATGACAAAAAAAGAGTATGATTCTTGAAACATACTCATCATATATTTTACATTTTAAATGTATTAAATAAAATAAAAGAAATTACAAAAAAATTGCAAAAAAAAAGAAAAAGTATATAAAACACAACACATGAAAAGGTTTAAAAGAGGTTTCTTCAATTTCTTTATTTTAACAATAATTTCTATAAAAAATAAAAAAATAGAAGGGTTGTTGTGACAAATAATAAAATACAGAAATAAAAGAATTTTGCGTCATAAAATGTTTTTGTTTAGCAGTTGCTTTTGTTTTAAAACTTTTTTTTTTTGGTATAGGGTTTTAACGAGCCGCATGAAAGGTGTTTTTAGTATTTTTTTTTTTTTTTGGTTGGAGTGTTATAATTTTTTCTGGGGCTTTTTTAGTGCATTAATTTTGGGTTAAAAATAATATATAAACAATTTTGATATAATTCATAGCTGCAGTTCTGTTTATTGCGTCCTTTTTAGATATTTTTAACTGCTTTAATGGGTCTTAAGTAAGTGTAAGATTTTCAGTTCTAGTTCAGTTCTGCTTCAGTTCTAGTTCTGTTTTAGTACAGTTCTAGTTCAGTTCTAGTTCAGTTCTAGTTCAGTTCTAGTTCAGTTCTAGTTCAGTTCTAGTTCAGTTCTAGTTCAGTTCTAGTTCAGTTCTAGTTCAGTTCTAGTTCAGTTCTAGTTCAGTTCTAGTTCAGTTCTAGTTCAGTTCTAGTTCAGTTCTAGTTCAGTTCTAGTTCAGTTCTAGTTCAGTTCTAGTTCAGTTCTAGTTCAGTTCTAGTTCAGTTCTAGTTCAGTTCTAGTTCAGTTCTGGTTCAGTTCTAGTTCAGTTCTAGTTCAGTTCTAGTTCAGTTCTAGTTCAGTTCTAGTTCAGTTCTAGTTCAGTTCTAGTTCAGTTCTAGTTCAGTTCTAGTTCAGTTCTAGTTCAGTTCTAGTTCAGTTCTAGTTCAGTTCTAGTTCAGTTCTAGTTCAGTTCTAGTTCAGTTCTAGTTCAGTTCTAGTTCAGTTCTAGTTCAGTTCTAGTTCAGTTCTAGTTCAGCTCTAGTTCAGTTCTAGTTCAGTTCTAGTTCAGTTCTAGTTCATAGTTCTAGTTCAGTTCTAGTTCAGTTCTTTCAGTTCTAGTTCAGTTCTAGTTCAGTTCTAGTTCAGTTCTAGTTCAGTTCTAGTTCAGTTCTAGTTCAGTTCTAGTTCAGTTCTAGTTCAGTTCTAGTTCAGTTCTAGTTCAGTTCTAGTTCAGTTCTAGTTCAGTTCTAGTTCAGTTGTCTAGTTCAGTTCTAGTTCAGTTCTAGTTCAGTTCTAGTTCAGTTCTAGTTCAGTTCTAGTTCAGTTCTAGTTCAGTTCTAGTTCAGTTCTAGTTGAGTTCAGTTCTAGTTGAGTTCAGTTCTAGTTCAGTTCTAGTTGAGTTCAGTTCTAGTTCAATTCTAGTTCAGTTCTAGTTCAGTTCTAGTTCAGTTCTAGTTCAGTTCCAGTTCAGTTCTAGTTCAGTTCTAGTTCAGTTCTAGTTCAGTTCTAGTTCAGTTCTAGTTCAGTTCTAGTTCAGTTCTAGTTCAGTTCTAGTTCAGTTCTAGTTCAGTTCTAGTTCAGTTCTAGTTCAGTTCTAGTTCAGTTCTAGTTCAGTTCTAGTTCAGTTCTAGTTCAGTTCTAGTTCAGTTCTAGTTCAGTTCTAGTTCAGTTCTAGTTCAGTTCTAGTTCAGTTCTAGTTCAGTTCTAGTTCAGTTCTAGTTCAGTTCTAGTTCAGTTCTAGTTCAGTTCTAGTTCAGTTCTAGTTCAGTTCTAGTTCAGTTCTAGTTCAGTTCTAGTTCAGTTCTAGTTCAGTTCTAGTTCAGTTCTAGTTCAGTTCTAGTTCAGTTCTAGTTCAGTTCTAGTTCAGTTCTAGTTCAGTTCTAGTTCAGTTCTAGTTCAGTTTAGTTCAGTTCTAGTTCAGTTCTAGTTCAGTTCTAGTTCAGTTCTAGTTCAGTTCTAGTTCAGTTCTAGTTCAGTTCTAGTTCAGTTCTAGTTCAGTTCTAGTTCAGTTCTAGTTCAGTTCTAGTTCAGTTCTAGTTCAGTTCTAGTTCAGTTCTAGTTCAGTTCTAGTTCAGTTCTAGTTCAGTTCTAGTTCAGTTCTAGTTCAGTTCTAGTTCAGTTCAGTTCAGTTCAGTTCTAGTTCAGTTCTAGTTCAGTTCTAGTTCAGTTCAGTTCTAGTTCAGTTCTAGTTCAGTTCTAGTTCAGTTCTAGTTCAGTTCTAGTTCAGTTCTAGTTCAGTTCTAGTTAAGTTCTAGTTCAGTTCTAGTTCAGTTCTAGTTCAGTTCTAGTCAGTTCTAGTTCAGTTCTAGTTCAGTTCTAGTTCAGTTCTAGTTCAGTTCTAGTTCAGTTCTAGTTCAGTTCTAGTCAGTTCTAGTTCAGTTCTAGTTCAGTTCTAGTTCAGTTCTAGTTCAGTTCTAGTTCAGTTCTAGTTCAGTTCTAGTTCAGTTCTAGTTCAGTTCTAGTTCAGTTCTAGTTCAGTTCTAGTTTCAGTTCTAGTCAGTTCTAGTTCAGTTCTAGTTCAGTTCTAGTTCAGTTCTAGTTCAGTTCTAGTTCAGTTCTAGTTCAGTTCTAGTTCAGTTCTAGTTCAGTTCTAGTTCAGTTCTAGTTCAGTTCTAGTTCAGTTCTAGTTCAGTTCTAGTTCTGTTCTAGTTCAGTTCCAGTTCAGTTCTAGTTCAGTTCTAGTTCAGTTCTAGTTCAATTCTAGTTCTTCAAGAAAATTTCAAATAATATTTCAACATCCGTATCCATAACCTCAAAAATCTTAAAAAAAACTTACAAATTAAATGTATGACAAATTGAATTGTGGATCAAAACTTTTGTTGTTATTAACTTATATTGATTTGTTTAAATAAATAAAGCAAAAACAAACTTTATTATTTAATCAAAATAAATTTAAATTGTTTTTGGTTCGTGGTTTCTGTTTTTGATTTAGAAAAGAAAAACTTTGTTATATTTGCTGCTGTTTGCTACACATTGAGCAATTGTCGTAAATTTTGACTGTTTAAGGGAAAATTTTAGCTATTCGCAATAGTTGTATGTAAGTTTTGTATTTGTTGGTTGGTGAATGTAAAACTGCTTATTATGCAAACAAGAATTAATTTATTTGTCATCATCATCATCTCGCCGTAGTCGTCGTCATCGTCATTGTCAGCCACCAATAGCAGAAACAACCAAAACCATCCAATGCTGTTAAAAATACTTTCTCCACAACAATAGCAAAACAATGAACAATTTTCAGTTGTTATATTCACACTAAAATATTCAGCAAATAACCCAGCAAACATGTATTTTATTGCTTATGTATTTTATTGTTTACCAACTGCTTACTTTTGGACTTACTAAATGCTTACTTGGTAGCGTTAAAGCTTATTTTAAAGAATTTAATAAGTATAAAAAATTTTCATAAAATTCTGCAGAGTTTATTAAACTTCGTCTTAAATTTGGTTTATTATAAAACTGTCTGCATAATATTTAAATAAATTTTTCATATTTTCTTTCCACTTAAAAAATCATCATTTTCCTACAATTTTCATCACTTCAATAGACAACAGAAAAAATAAACAACAAAAAAGAAAAGAAAATTGTATCTCAACTGTAATAAAAATCCAAGTCAATGACAATAAATAAGCAAAAAAATACATATTGATAATAATAACACATACTCTTATTTAAAGGCTCTAATCCGGGAAAATTACGTCATGAAAGAAAAACAAAGTTTCAAATTTAAGATTGTTTGTAAATACTCATTCATTACTCGCTCCCCTTTCCTAACTCAGCGATTACAAATTTAATCATTTGTATTGTTTTTCTTTTTTATTGTAAATTTTATTAAATTGTTTTTTTCTCCACTAGAACATTTTGTTTTAATTAATTTTATGTAGTTTTCTCTTGTTCTCTTTACAGTTCAACATTTTTTAACTGTTAAATAAAATACTGAAAACACGGGGAAAATTTAAATTGTGATTAAGAAAAACAATGTAAGTACTTTTTAACATTTTTACATCATTAAAACATTAAATTTATCTAGATTGTTAATCTTTAACACCTGACTGTTATTACCTAAAGTTCATGTATTACAAAAAAAAAAAATACTTTAAATAAGTAACGGCTTACATAATACACTATTCGAAGATTAACAGATCTTCATATCATACACCATTTCTATATCAATATCAAAAAAGCCCTGAAATGTTTGAGTATTATCTTCCATTCAGTTCTATTTCAATTCTAGTTCAGTTCCAGTTCAGTACTAGTTCAGTCTAGTTCAGTTCTAGTTCAGTTCTAGTTCAGTTCTAGTTCAGTTCTAGTTCAGTTCTAGTTCAGTTCTAGTTCAGTTCAGTTCAGTTCTAGTTCAGTTCAGTTCTAGTTCAATTCTAGATCAGTTCTACTTCAGTTCTAGTTCAGTTCTAGTTCAGTTCTAGTTCAGTTCTAGTTCAGTTCTAGTTCAGTTCTAGTTCAGTTCTAGTTCAGTTCTAGTTCAGTTCTAGTTCAGTTCTAGTTCAGTTCTAGTTCAGTTCTAGTTCAGTTCTAGTTCAGTTCTAGTTCAGTTCTAGTTCAGTTCTAGTTCAGTTCTAGTTCAGTTCTAGTTCAGTTCAGTTCTAGTTCAGTTCTAGTTCAGTTCTAGTTAGTTCAGTTCTAGTTCAGTTCTAGTTCAGTTCTAGTTCAGTTCTAGTTCAGTTCTAGTTCAGTTCTAGTTCAGTTCTAGTTCAGTTCTAGTTCAGTTCTAGTTCAGTTCTAGTTCAGTTCTAGTTCAGTTCTAGTTCTGTTCTAGTTCTGTTCTAGTTCTGTTCTAGTTCTGTCTAGTTCTGTTCTAGTTCTGTTCTAGTTCTGTTCTAGTTCTGTTCTAGTTCTGTTCTAGTTCTGTTCTAGTTCTGTTCTAGTTCTGTTCTAGTTCTGTTCTAGTTCTGTTCTAGTTCTGTTCTAGATCTGTTCTAGTTCTGTTCTAGTTCTGTTCTAGTTCTGTTCTGTTTAGTTCTGTTCTAGTTCTGTTCTAGTTCTGTTCTAGTTCTGTTCTAGTTCTGTTCTAGTTCTGTTCTAGTTCTGTTCTAGTTCTGTTCTAGTTCTGTTCTAGTTCTGTTCTAGTTCTGTTCTAGTTCTGTTCTAGTTCTGTTCTAGTTCTGTTCTAGTTCTGTTCTAGTTCTGTTCTAGTTCTGTTCTAGTTCTGTTCTAGTTCTGTTCTAGTTCTGTTCTAGTTCTGTTCTAGTTCTGTTCTAGTTTGTTCTGTTCTGTTAGTTGTTCTAGTTCTGTTCTAGTTCTGTTCTAGTTCTGTTCTAGTTCTGTTCTAGTTCTGTTCTAGTTCTGTTCTAGTTCTGTTCTAGTTCTGTTCTAGTTCTGTTCTAGTTCTGTTCTAGTTCTGTTCTAGTTCTGTTCTAGTTCTGTTCTAGTTCTGTTCTAGTTCTGTTCTAGTTCTTTCTAGTTCTGTTCTAGTTCTGTTCTAGTTCTGTTCTAGTTCTGTTCTAGTTCTGTTCTAGTTCTGTGCTAGTTCTGTGCTAGTTCTGTTCTAGTCCTGTGAGTTCTGTTCTAGTTCTGTTCTAGTTATGTTCTAGTTCTGTGCTAGTTATGTTCTAGTTCTGTTCTAGTTCTGTTCTAGTTCTGTTCTAGTTCTGTTCTAGTTCTCTGTTCTAGTTCTGTTCTAGTTCTGTTCTAGTTCTGTTCTAGTTCTGTTCTAGTTCTGTTCTAGTTCTTCTAGTTCTGTTCTAGTTCTGTTCTAGTTCTGTTCTAGTTCTGTTCTAGTTCTGTTCTAGTTCTGTTCTAGTTCTGTTCTAGTTCTGTTCTAGTTCTGTTCTAGTTCTGTTCTAGTTCTGTTCTAGTTCTGTTCTAGTTCTGTTCTAGTTCTGTTCTAGTTCTGTTCTAGTTCTGTTCTAGTTCTGTTCTAGTTCTGTTCTAGTTCTGTTCTAGTTCTGTTCTAGTTCTGTTCTAGTTCTGTTCTAGTTCTGTTCTAGTTCTGTTCTAGTTCTGTTCTAGTTCTGTTCTAGTTCTGTTCTAGTTCTGTTCTAGTTCTGTTCTTCTGTTCTAGTTCTAGTTCTGTTCTAGTTCTGTTCTAGTTCTGTTCTAGTTCTGTTCTAGTTCTGTTCTAGTTCTGTTCTAGTTCTGTTCTAGTTCTGTTCTAGTTCTGTTCTAGTTCTGTTCTAGTTCTGTTCTAGTTCTGTTCTAGTTCTGTTCTAGTTCTGTTCTAGTTCTGTTCTAGTTCTGTTCTAGTTCTGTTCTAGTTCTGTTCTAGTGTTCTAGTCGTTCTAGTTCTGTTCTAGTTCTAGTTCTGTTCTAGTTCTGTTCTAGTTCTGTTCTAGTTTTCTAGTTCTAGTTCTGTTCTAGTTCTGTTCTAGTTCTGTTCTAGTTCTGTTCTAGTTCTGTTCTAGTTGTTCTAGTTCTGTTCTAGTCTGTTCTAGTTCTGTTCTAGTTCTGTTCTAGTTCTGTTCTAGTTCTGTTCTAGTTCTGATCTAGTTCTGTTCTAGTTCTGTTCTAGTTCTGTTCTAGTTCTGTTCTAGTTCTGTTCTAGTTCTGTTCTAGTTCTGTTCTAGTTCTGTTCTAGTTCTGTTCTAGTTCTGTTCTAGTTCTCTAGTTCTGTTCTAGTTCTGTTCTAGTTCTGTTCTAGTTCTGTTCTAGTTTGTTCTAGTTCAGTTCTAGTTCAGTTCTAGTTCAGTTCTAGTTCAGTTCTAGTTCAGTTCTAGTTCAGTTCTAGTTCAGTTCTAGTTCAGTTCTAGTTCAGTTCTAGTTCAGTTCTAGTTCAGTTCTAGTTCATTTTAGTTCAGTTCTAGTTCTAGTTCAGTTCTAGTTCAGTTCTAGTTCAGTTCTAGTTCAGTTCTAGTTCAGTTCTAGTTCAGTTCTAGTTCAGTTCTAGTTCAGTTCTAGTTCAGTTCTAGTTCAGTTCTAGTTCAGTTCTAGTTCAGTTCTAGTTCAGTTCTAGTCAGTTCTAGTTCAGTTCTAGTTCAGTTCTAGTTCAGTTCTAGTTCAGTTCTAGTTCAGTTCTAGTTCAGTTCTAGTTCAGTTCTAGTTCAGTTCTAGTTCAGTTCTAGTTCAGTTCTAGTTCAGTTCTAGTTCAGTTCTAGTTCAGTTCTAGTTCAGTTCTAGTTCAGTTCTAGTTCAGTTCTAGTTCAGTTCTAGTTCAGTTCTAGTTCAGTTCTAGTTCAGTTCTAGTTCAGTTCTAGTTCAGTTCTAGTTCAGTTCTAGTTCAGTTCAAGTTCAGTTCTAGTTCAGTTCTAGTTCAGTTCTAGTTCAGTTCTAGTTCAGTTCTAGTTCAGTTCTAGTTCAGTTCTAGTTCTGTTCTAGTTCTGTTCTAGTTCTGTTCTAGTTCTGTTCTAGTTCTAGTTCTGTTCTAGTTCTGTTCTAGTTCTAGTTCTAGTTCTAGTTCTGTTCTAGTTCTAGTTCTAGTTCTGTTCTAGTTCTGTTCTAGTTCTGTTCTAGTTCTGTTCTAGTTCTGTTCTAGTTCTGTTCTAGTTCTGTTCTAGTTCTGTTCTAGTTCTGTTCTAGTTCTGTTCTAGTTCTGTTCTAGTTCTGTTCTAGTTCTGTTCTAGTTCTGTTCTAGTTCTGTTCTAGTTCTGTTCTAGTTCTGTTCTAGTTCTGTTCTAGTTCTGTTCTAGTTCTGTTCTAGTTCTGTTCTAGTTCTGTTCTAGTTCTGTTCTAGTTCTGTTCTAGTTCTGTTCTAGTTCTGTTCTAGTTCTGTTCTAGTTCTGTTCTAGTTCTGTTTCTAGTTCTGTCCTAGTTCTGTTCTAGTTCTGTTCTAGTTCTGTTCTAGTTCTGTTCTAGTTCTGTTCTAGTTCTGTTCTAGTTCTGTTCTAGTTCTGTTCTAGTTCTGTTCTAGTTCTGTTCTAGTTCTGTTCTAGTTTGTTCTAGTTCTGTTCTAGTTCTGTTCTAGTTCTGTTCTAGTTCTGTTCTAGTTCTGTCTAGTTCTGTTCTAGTTCTGTTCTAGTTCTGTTCTGTTCTAGTTCTGTTCTAGTTCTGTTCTAGTTCTGTTCTAGTTCTGTTCTAGTTCGTTATAGTTCTGTTATAGTTCTGTTCTAGTTCTGTTCTAGTTCTGTTCTAGTTCTGTTCTAGTTCTGTTCTAGTTCTATTCTAGTTCTGTTCTAGTTCTGTTCTAGTTCTGTTCTAGTTCTGTTCTAGTTCAGTTCTAGTTCTGTTCTAGTTCTGTTCTAGTTCTGTTCGGTTCTAGTTCTAGTTCTGTTCTGTTCTAGTTCTGTTCTAGTTCTGTTCTAGTTCTGTTCTAGTTCTGTTCTAGTTCTGTTCTAGTTCTAGTTCTGTTCTAGCTCCGTTCTAGTTCTGTTCTAGTACACATTCCTTCAAACTATGTATTTGTATTTTTAAAATTCGATCGAACATGTTCCATCAATGAAAAACAATTATAACTGTTCATTATGTTACATACACTTCAACGTACTTCAAATATCCTTAACAATTACTTACAGTTGGCATATACAAATTAGACCAGTTATTTAATGTTACTTACAACTTCATTTTCTTCATCCCCTCTGTTTTCGAGCTCAGCCAAGGATGTGTATACGATAAGTTCTAACTTCCTAATTTTTCCACGTTTTTGGGAAATTGCTGGTTTCTTTTCCGACAGCATTGGTAAACAAGGCCATGTTTCTTAATAATATTTTTTTTATTACTACGTAAGAAGAAAAAAACCTTAAACAGTAAATGTTCCACTCATTAAACGCAATTTTATACGATATTGCTACAGTGAATTTTCGTCCGTACAAACACTCTAACTCAGCCCCACTCCTAGATTTCCATACGATTAAGAGAAAATTACAGGATATATTCAAGTATTTTGTGTTAATAAATTGAGTACAACGAGTGAAAAAGTACGTACAAGAGTATTTATCCGTATGACTGATGATTACAACAGCAGAGGAATCGCTGGAAAGAAAATTCAGTTGGTTCTTGTTTTGCAGGAAATGTCTTGTTTTTTTTTATTGTTATTTAGATGGTTTTTTGTTATGACATTGATGAAATATAATTTTCTTATTTATGGTTCCTT